GGTTCTGCGATTTCAAAGTCAAAAAAGTCTCTGTCTTTCTCTGTCTCTCTCTTTGTGAGTTTGCATAGCATGGTGTAAACCTAGAAAGCCTTTTTGTTTCCTGCCAAACGTGTATATGGGATTCAAATGCCCAATGCCCATCTCCACGTTCCATGCACGTGCTACCTGTGTAGAGCTGCAAAAGCTGCTTGTTTCATCACCGTGTTTCAATTAACTTGTGCAGTTTTGAACCTATCACTGGCCAGATCATCAAGGCTAGCAGGAAACGATGTGATGGTAAGTTTGAGATGTCGCATAAGCATGCAGCTTGTTATGTTGAAGATGTCAAGGTGATCGAGCACCAAATGCAGGCACCCCGACCATGATTTTCCTGGTGTGGGCGCATCTGCGGTTTCCCGGTTCCATGGATCTTTGAAACTTATTGCAGACGACATGGTGAGCGGGGCCTTTTCCTGCAAGGGCCGGGATTTCGACCGCCGCTCCTCCACTGGTGACATCATGAAAGCATCGGGGTCGTGATATAGAACGAAGCTGCGCGCTCATCATATTTATATCGTTTGCTAGTGTGCAGTGACATAGTTGTTGCAAGGTCAGCATTTGATTTTACTGCACGGGGCTTCAACCCATGGATAGCTTGTTAATTTTACTCATGTCCCTGTTTTCGGTTCAAGTGTGCGTAATTTTGGAATGTGCGGCTGAAGAAGCCATGGGAGTTTCAGATCTAGATAGACAAATCGATCAGCTCAAAAGGCGGGCCCGGCTGTTCTTGCAATTACCAGAGCTTTCAGTGCCGCAAGCACCAAACTATTTGACTGAATGGCAAGGACATGGCAGAGTCGATGCACACATTCATGCGAGGCAAATTTCCATTTGTTTATTCATGCCAGGTGCGAATACATCAAAGAAGCAGAAGTCAAAGCAGCTTGGCACTAGCTGTTGGAGTTTGAAGCTTGTGACATGGAAGAACAAGTACAAGCATGCTGCTCTGACTGGGCACTTGGTTTTCAAGGTTTGTGTAATTGTGAAGCGATAAAGTTGTTCGGCGGGCTTTCCTTTTGTCAATCCTATCTGGAACGAGCGCTTGTCACAGGCCCTGTGCTCGAAAGCGCGGGATATCCTCGTCGAGGAATGCAATGTGCAGCGAGTAGATGCTCCTGTCACAGCAGGGCTCTGAGCGGCTTCTGTTGCGCCAGCACAAACTCACGCAGGCTTCAGATATGTTGTTTTGTTTGTGCTCAGATTTGCGGAGACATCCACGGGCAGTTCTATGACCTGGTGGAACTCTTCAAGGCCGGTGCAATCTTCGATTTCCGAGTGCCAGCTTTGTGTGTTTCGTGGCAGGTAGGTGGTGATTGCCCAGAGACAAATTATTTGTTCATGGGCGACTTCGTTGACAGAGGATTCTACAGTGTTGGCCCCTCAAAATGCCTTGCATATGGTGGAAGATGTTTGTTTGTGGCTCATTGCAAGGTGGAGACTTTCCTGCTGTTATTGGCCCTGAAGGCGCAGAAACCTGTTTGACACTTGTTTTTTGGAGTGTTTTTGCACGCTGCGATGCATATCCATGTTGCAAGACTTTTGCAGGTACGCTACCCCGACCGAATAATGCTGATACGGGGCAACCATGAAAGCCGCCAGATAACTCAGGCAGAGACTGTCTTGACAGGGCTCAGGGCTTGGCTTAGTCGTGTTCGTTGAGTCGCCTGCAGGTTTACGGATTCTACGACGAATGCCTCCGAAAGTATGGTAGCGTGAACGTGTGGCCTGGCAGCGCAGAGTGAGCAGAGTGAGCGTCCACAAGATTCCACGCAAAAGACAGGAAGTGATTAAGCTTTCTCAGGTGGCGATACTGTACAGAGATCTTCGACTACCTAGCCTTGGCTGCGCTCATCGAGGCAACTCACTGATCTTTGCCCGCTACCAGGTGTCAAAAAGCGCCCCTGTGATCTTTTTTGCAGATGTCAGGATCGCGTTTTCTGTGTCCACGGCGGGCTATCTCCTGCAATCAACACTTTGGATGATGTGCGCAGCATCGATCGCAAGCAGGAGGCTCGCTGAAAGCGACGGGTGCTATGCCGCTATGCTTTAGGATGTTGCATTAACAAAAGCATGTCTGTATGGCTGTATTCCAGAGAACCCTGTCTCTGCTCGAAGGTCCCCCACGAGGGTGCCATGTGCGACCTGATGTGGTCAGATCCAGAGGACGGGATCCAAATTTCTCCAAAGTGACGGGTTTTGCTGCTGCTGCTGCTGCTGCTGCTTCCCCAAGCTTTACATCCAAGTCTAGCACGAACGCAGCCTTGGATCTTGAAGGACCTAGACGGCTGGGGTCTGTCCCCAAGAGGTGCCGGCTATCTCTTCGGTGCTGACGTTGTCAAGGGGTCGGCACCTTGTTCTCGCTTGTCTGCTCAGTCGCATCCAGTCCCACCTCACTGGAATGAAGTCAAACCCTGACGATGCGCCTCCATGTAGTGTTAGGACAACGTTGTGCAAAGAGAATCCGTTCTGCTTTTCCTATCGAGTGAACCACTCAGTAAGCTGAATGATGTGCTGCGAGGTTCAACCATACAAATGGGATTGAGCTCATTGGACGTGCTCACCAGCTAGTCATGGACGGCTATAAGTGGATGTTCAATGAGGCTCGCATAAAGTCCGTGATCGCGGCTCTGCTGTCTGAGTGGTCGCACTGCTCTTTTGCACAGGCTCTTGTGACTGTCTGGTCTGCGCCAAACTACTGCTACCGGCGCTGGCCCCAACAAAGTTTAGTGCAGGTATAGGCCATTGACTTCAGTCGCAGGTCTTGTCGCAATGTTGAACGGCTTGCGGCGACTTTCGTCTTGAAAGCATGCAGGTGTGGGAATGTGGCTGCGATTCTAGAGTTTGACGAGAACTTGAAGCAGTCTTTCCGCATCTTTGAGGCACGATTGAGCTGATCCAGTCAAATCTGCTGAGCCAGTGCGTCGGTGGTCAGTTCTATCCCCGCATCCGTCTTCTACTTGCTGTTTAACTTGTGACGCAGGCTGCTCCAGCAGACGCACGAGGGCAACCCTCGAGAAAGCTTGTGCCGGACTACTTCCTGTGATGCTTCCTGGAATTTTCCCGCTAAAGGAATGCGCGAGTCCTGCATCGGGAACTAGTTATACAGAGCCACATCATTCCAGATTTGGCTAGGTACATAAACGCATCTTCACAGGATCTGAGACTAAATCGACTTGGCCAAAGTGCAGCTTGGCCTTCCACGTGTAGGTTGGAGAGGACTGGAAGTTTTGTGCAAATCCTCGTGGCAAGACGCCAGCAGAAGAGGAAACACAACGTGTCAGCAAGAACTGGGTCCCAGTAGCCCCTGCAAACAGCTGCAAGCCGCCACTAGGTTATCTTAGAAGCTTTCAGGATGCTCGTTGACACCTGTCACGGCCACTCACAGGGTGGACGGTCCTTGGCACGAAAGAGACTGCTTGCTCGGACTGGTCATGCTCCAGTGAGCATTTGTCGCTACAGTGTTGTGTCAGTGCAGTGTTGAAGAGCATTATTCCTTAATGTTTTCTGGACATGACCTCCGTGGAGGATGACCAGGAGAATCATGACATGAATATTTTCCAGCAAACTTGCTACAGAATTTACTGTAGGAGTAGGCTTTGTCAGACAGGCAGCTGCCACATCGTTGTCTGGAGTCTGTTTCGCAGTGGCATTAAGTTTGTAAAAATCAAGCATTGGATGGGGAGCTGGCTATTCTTGGGGATACGGATGTGTAGGTATTCGCAGAATCTTTCATTACCATTCAGGTTTGGGATGTTTCTGTACCAAGCTGAGCGTACACTTGGCCAGTGGGGAAAGGCCTTGTGCTGTGCCAGCGCTTGCGACGTAGCTTCCCAGAGAGGAAGAGGCTGTTCTTTGTAGAGCCCTGCCTTCTTTCAGGAGAGAAGAGAGGACTCTCATTTGCGTGTGACAGATAGACAGAAAGGCGGCCATTCTTGTACACGAATATGCAGGAAGCAATCACCATGGCCTTGTCCAGCACAGGGGGAAGCCTGGCCGATTTCTCTAGCTGCTGATGCGTGCTGGTTTCGCTGCAGTTGATGCGATCGCCAGTCCAAAAAGGTGGTAGCTGTTTGCAATGCCCGACTCAGCTGTGAACCGGCAGTACGCATGTCTTGTGTGAGCGTCCACATCACTATCGCTGTGTGGCTCCAGCCCTGGAAACCCTCAGGGTTGCATCTGCCAGCAGCTTAGATGTTGTACGAGGTGTGCCCTTTGGATGCCCGGCCGCCGCATGCTGTTCTTAGGTTTGTCAGGACATCTCCATTTCGCGCCTTAAGCTCAGACGGGCGTGAGCTTCGTGGGCTTCTTCCCTGAGAGCACCCCGGCTCCCATGGCCAGGTTCCAAGATGCTCAAGCTCAAGCTCGTGATGTCCTTCCTCGCCGTGGGCACGGCTGTGCCAGAGGAGCCTTGTCGATTTTGCATTGTTAAACAATCCAATCCATGTTTCCACAATGTTTCATCCTGGTGTTCGCAGGAAGCTCCAAGTTCCGTGCTTGTTGAACTGGACGGAAATGGCCAAGCCTCGATGGCCTGAGCCTAAGTTGAAGAAGCAAGGAGCCTTTGCGCTTTCTCGGCGTCTAGCCAGGTTGAGGCTGGCAAGAGACCATTTCACAAAGACGCGCCGAAGCTCCACGATTGCATCGAGTTCATCTTTTCGGCACTCCCGGTCCTTGCTTGTCTTTTTCTTTCTCAGGTACGACGACGACGCCGGATCCCTTTTGGGTGCTTTTCTTTCTTTCGCGAGAGTTCTGACAAAGAGGTGCTCTTTGAGCTGCCTGTGCCGTGCTCGGAGGTCGAGAGAGCCCTGCAGGCGGCGAACCTGACGAGCAGCGAGCGCCAGGAGGCAAAAGGGAGAGGTTTCGCATGATCTTCGCAAGGGTTGCGGATTTTCAGGTTGAGAAGACCCTCGATGATTTTCTCAACAAGTCGGAGCTGCCGAAGCCACAGGTCTGGAGCGGGCTTCTTCGCAAGCTTGCAGTGACTTGCAGTGACTTGCAGTGGCTTGCAGTGGCTTGCAGTCGCAGGCCTCCCTGGTCCGCAGCCCGAGAGCAAGGGCCCTCCACCCGAGCCTTGGCAGTTTCTTCGGAGCCGAGGTCCAGCTGGCGGCTTTTGCACCGGTCAGCGCGGCAGGCCCCGCACCGGGGCACACCGTGGCCTTAAAGAACCACACGGAGGTTGTCACCAAGCGCGGCACGGACAGAACCCCGATGCTTGAGTCACCGCCAATGACTGTCTATTGACGGCTTTCTGCAGGACCCCCAGTTGAAAGCTCTCAACGACCAACACGATAATCTCACACACCTGGTCCACGACCAGGCCAGATGCTTTGAATATGACAAACTGCATTTGCAAGAAGATGAGGATGCCAGCGAACCTCACAGAGTTTTGGACCGCAGTTACATGTCGAAGTACGGCAATCCTAACAATGTCACATGTCCGAACTGTATACCGAAGACGAAAATGATATCCAACTGCACGGCCCACGCTGAGCTTTGGACCTCCAAACCTGGCCGTGCCAAGACAGTGATCAGCTCAAGTGGAAAGGCCAAAGTCCTGAGCCCTGAGCCCTAAATCCTCGTCTTCGGCTCTGCAGCACCAAGTCCTCGTTCACAAGTGCGAAGTTCTCCGGGCTTGAGGAGCGGCAGGGACTGTGTCAAGGAATGTTCACACTGGCATCCCAGAGCCCATGTGGCGCCGGTCACCCAAAGCGAGAGAAGTCCTTTCGATGTTTCCCACGACGATGTCCACTGCAGCAGGAGTTTCTTTGAGAGTTTCCTCCGTGTGATCTCTGCCCCCACGTGTGTCGAGCGAGACGAAAGACCAATTGGACCTGGTCTGGCAAAAAGATTCCCATTCACGGGACAGCAATGCCGTTTAAGCAGTCCTGATCTTTGCTCGAATTCTGGCAAAACAGCTTGTTTCCATGTGTGCCAAGTATTTCAGTTCCGGCCGTGAGCCGCAGGCATGAGAAGTACTGTCACAGGGACCTGTCAATGTGGTGTGGACACAGCAGTAATTGCATTGTCCTAACCGAGCAAGTGGGAATCGAGATATCCGAGAAATGAGCGAACACGTCGTGAAAGGCTGAAGCTGTGGCACACACTTCTGCGACCATGAGTCGCAACAAGGAGGCCGAAAGCCCACTTGTGGATGCGCTTGGCTTTTGTTTGATTTGTGACTCGTGCCAGGATGTGGACAGACAAGCTGCTGAAGTCGATCGGGTCGCCGACCTCTATGGTCAGTCGCATGCTAACACGAAGAAAGCCGAGGATGCCTACAAGGCGCGATGTGCAAGCTGTCATGATCGCGTGGCAGGAGTGGCGCAGCGATCGTTTCTTGCTTGTCTTGCTATCAAGGCTCATTTGGTTGCTTTGGCAATTGCAAAGAAGCGACGTGACGATTTGAAGCAGAAGGCGGACGACGACACTCAGCACCGAAACAGGAGGTGTGAAGCATTACTGTACTGGCTACCGCAGACATCAGCACCACAAGCATGCAGTCACTGCTGAGGCACGCAAGACCCTTGAGACGGTGGTGCCAGAGTACAATGCTGCTGAGGAGATTGCAATGTGCCCAAGGGGTAGCAGAGAGACAGTCAGATAGTCACAGTTCCAGAGTTGCCAAGCCATGCCTTAATGAATTGTCAATGTGGCATCACCTCGATCGCACTGATGTTGCAGTACAAACTCGGGATCCTGATGTCGCAGACTCCCTGGCTGAAGGCACGCCGATGGTTTCCAAGCAGATTCGAAGCCCTCACAGCTCTCACATTCCCAGAGAAGTTTGCTCTCTTGGTGGCCAGGATGAAGCAAAGAAGAAAGAGGCCGAAGAAGGGAAGCGTGCCGACGACCTCGAAAACACAGAGAACAAGAAGAAAGAGATGCAGGCACTTGCTCGGTGCATACCTTGCGAGGGTACGGTCACACACACACACAAACACACGCCGCCGACAGGACAAGTTGAACGGGGATGACAAAGCTTTGCAGGCAATAGACGGTGGCTGTTCTTCGTCTCCTCGGTTGATCCTGTGAAGCTGTAGTTGAAGCAGGCTGCGATCTCCAAGCTCAACGGTCTCAACGGTGATCTCAAGAGAATAGAGGCATACCCGGCATCTTGCCGTACCATGGCTTCACACCTCCGCCGCCTCGCCAGGACAAGATTGAGCACTGGAACAGTGCGTCCTCATTGGCACCTCTGCCCATGCTGCTTGCTCTCCTGTTAGGCTCCGGCTTGAGGGCTGGGGGGAGTGTGAGCTGCACGGCAGAGCTTTGAATGCACGAGCCAGAGACTAAACGAGCTATGCTGATGCCTTGTGCGAACTTGCGGCTCGCCTGGAGGCCGAATCTGAGTGGGTCAGCTGCGGACTCGGACAAATGCAGAGAAAAGACGGGCCAAAGATACTGATTAGCTACTTCCGGGCAATGGTGGTGCAAAGCTAGCAAGCATGCTTCCTGGAGTATGGGTCAGAGATGAATGTTTGGCGTGTATTGTGGTCGTCTACGGCTTGCTGCAGGGCTTTGAGGTTTATTATTCATCTCATTGTCTGCGTTTGTTGAATGAATCGAACGGTTAGAATCTTGGTCAAAAGCCTCTGGGAAGCTTGATGCCTGGCGACGCCTGCCAGAAGACAACATATGGAAGGCCCGGGGTCTGGGCTGTGTGAAGGCAGAAACGTCGGCGGGCAGATCTTTCAATGGGATTCAGAGACGGCCATGATATCGTGAGAAGCACCGGTCCGCTGGAATATTCTTGAAGATTCGGATGGACCGCTGGGTTGCAGCTGCAGTGCAAGGTCCAGGTTCTACTAGCCTACTGTTCCTCATTTGGGCCCATGGGTCTCGGCGCGTGCGGGGATGGGTTGAGACTGCGCTAGGCTTTGGAGTTGGCTCAAACCTTGGGTCCTCGCCCACAGGCCGAAAGTATTTTTGAAGTTTGGGTAGGTGCTGCATCCAGTCTGTTTTCCCAAAGCTGGCGAGAGCCGGCCACGACTACGATGCTGGCGAGCACGGAGGAGGCACACGTTCGAGATCTTGAGGGAATCGTCGTGGGCAAGAGTTTGTGCCGGAAGAAACACGAGGCTATCGGCAGAACCACTGTCGCTTCTGCACGAAGGCTGTGCTGACCATCTGCCTGCCTCTGGAATTGCCACAGTTTGCCAAATGTCTCTGCAGGCATGGCAACGTCCGTAGGAGGTTGGCTTCTTTGCACCGTCCTGTTGGGCGCCCGGCCTACACACGAGATTTGCACAACGAGATGCGAGCCTCTGCCACGAGGCCTTAATTTGTTTGGTTTTGTCCGTGGCTGCGACGGCGTTTGTGCCAACACCTGAAAGATTCCGAGCCAACTGCCGAGAGTTTTCAGAGTGTGGGTTCAGACCAGGAACGTCGATCCTAGAGCTGGCAGCAGAGCATCTCAACTTCCGAGACAAGCACGCATGCCACAGCCTCGACAACAGTAAACCTCTCAGAGTTTAAACCGTTCCACAAAGCCCTCTCAGACAGCTCCAGGAGTCCAGCTGCAGTGGAGTCCAATGACCTTGAGCGCACGGCTTACGACTGGGAGCACAGTTTTGGGTCTTTTGAGAAGTGGCTGTGGGAAGCTTCACTGTCAGGTACATGCCCATGAAGATGGCCAGCTTTGCCACAGGCATCCTGAGACCTTTCTTTGTCGTTCAGGCTGGGCCTATGTTACAGGCAGAGTGAGGACAACAAGCAAAGGAAGACCACGAGGAGACCAATAAAGAATAGCCAAGCACGGCACTGCCGACAAGCTCTGGCTTGTTTTCTGATCCACAAGGGCAGCACGACTTTGCCGAAATGCTCCGGACAGAGGCGTTGCATCCTTCACAGCTGGAGGAGGAGGGACAACTGAAGACGACGGAGGAGAAGATGCAGACCGTAGGCAACGGAGCAGACGAGGCTAAAACCTTGAGGCCTCTAGGTCTTCCTCTAAAGTTGAAGCCACAAGTAAGAATGACACTCGGCGAGCCCTTTATGGTCTTCTGCTGCTTTTTCGGCTGCCAGCTCTGTGTATCCCGGGTTCATTGTCAGAGAGCCGCGTCTCAACAGCACAATCAACCATCCAAGCAAAATGCGTTTCTGCACACGGAACAGGATCGCTGATTCAGATCACAGAGCACCGTAACTCAGATCCGGGACAGACGCCCCATCAGATCAACATGCTAAACGAAACAGCTGCTACTCCTTTTAGGGTTTTGAGTTGCGTGACACACACATTCCTTGTAGGCTTGAGTTTTCGCACCCGTGCACTTCTTTCAGGGTTTTGGTTTCCGCACCCGCCCACTCCTTTAAGGGTTTGATGTTTTTCGGCAACTACTCCTTTTAGGGTTTGGTGTTTCAAGACCCGACACTCCTTTCGAGTCCGGCGGAAAGTGACAGGGGCCACGAACACGGACTGTCTGTGCAGAGGCTCCTTTTTGTCTGCCCTACAGGACAAAACCAAAAGGGCTTCAGATCTCACGTGTAATCACGTGATGCTGGCTCCTGCCGATCATGGAAATGCAGCATGTCGATCCTGCACAAACTCTCCGGTTTCAGTCACGTCCCCTCTGGAGCAGGGCTGGTGCGCGACTTCGCTGCTTTTGCGCCTGGCGGCTCTCTCCAGCCCAGCCTGCCGCCTAAGCTCCTGAGCTTCTGGCTTGTCCGTGAGTGCCCAGCTTCCACTCGTGAGGAGACGACAGAGGGTGCGGTTGTCGGCTCACTTCGTGAGGCCATGGCAAGGCATCTCAGACCCTGGCACCCATTTCACAAAGCAGCTACTGAGTGTCGTCCTCTACGCTTGTCTGAGCACCGCCACGTCGATGGCCACTTTCCGGTCTGTGGGCAGGGTGTCGCTGTTCAGGGCATCGTATCCCGTCCTGGCATCCGTCACCAGGTAGTGCGGCCACCGAGCCACCGACAGCTTCCATCGTCGAAGGTCGAAGTTGTAATCGATGAGCTTGCAGAACACGGCCCTCACAAAATCTCCGTGTTCAAAGCATGTAACCAAAGCGGAGGACGTCGGGATGGGCCATGATGCGCAAGCCTGCTTGACTGTGACCACCTGGCATGGCGCCATAGACACGATCACCATCTCCTCCAAGTCACACCCGAGATTGCGTCGGGATCACGAGGTCCTCACGGGCGTGCTTCACGCGTGGGTTCAGCACCGTTAGGGCCGTCGGTACACCACGGCCTGCCAGCTGCTGGATGCTAGAGTGCTAGACGTCGCAAAAGCCAAGTCGTACCGGCCTTGTCTCGCCAGTTCAAGCGACCCACCACCGATCCGATGACCTTGCGCTCACCTTCGGTACGAGCTTCTTCGGGATACACCACCTTGTGTGGCATCGGCCATGAGCGAGATCACCTTTGCGTCTCCTGTAGACATTGTCGTGGGGCACCCGTAGAAGACGACGATGCTATCCAGTCGTTGTTGAGGGACACCCCGGACTGCTAGAAGACGACGCAGCTATTCCACTCGCCGTTGAAGGACCAGTGGGTCTCGAGGTAGAAGACGATGGGGCTATTCCAGCCGCGAAAATGGGACTCGAGGTAGAAGACGAGGGGGCAATTCCAGCCGCCGGAATGGGACCCGAGGTAGAAGAGGGGGCTGCCCCGGACTGACTCGGCCGTCATCTCGTGCTCCATCTCGAAATTCTTTGGACACTGGCGCTCCCACCGTCTGCAGAATTTCACCTTCGGTTGGCATGCAACCTGTCCCACATGTAGGCCCCTGGATCTTCAGCCTCCTCCATGTCATCCGTCGTGCCAGACCCCGCCTTGATGCTGGCAGGTCGTACACGCGAATTCCTTCCAGATGAGGAGGGGGTCGAGGTCACGTGGATTTGTGAGCTGCTGCATAAGACTCTCGGGATCATCATGTTCCGGCCCGTCATCGCCTGCATCGGCGATGTCCCTTGCAGCCCGTCTTCCAACTCCAGTTCTCATCGCTGCGATCATCAGCTCTTCCTCCTCCATCTCCAGTACAGCGCCAATTCTCGGTGCTATACTTGTCATCGTCCCAGTCTTGGTTCCTGGCCAGGCTCGTTTCCCCATTCGGATCTTCTCCCAGCGCCGCACCAAACGATTCACAGTGGGACCACATTTCTTTTGTAGGCCAGGCACCCTGGCTCAAGCCCCGTCGAAAAGAAACTCGTCACAGCCACCAAAAAGCACTCAAAGACAAGCACCCTGGAGCACCTCAAAGAACAAAAGCCTCAATGCCCCGGATCGAACCAATGCTCCGCTGCCAGCGGAAAGTGGCAGGAGCAACGAACACAGACTGCTTACGCAGAGGCTCCGCCAAAAGGGCTTCAGATCTCACGTGTTATCACGTCTATCATGATGCTGGCTTCTGCCGAACATGGAAACGCAGCGTGTCGCTCCTGAGCAAGATGCCCGGTTTCAGTTTTAGGGTTTGGGGTTTCGAACCCACTCCTTTTGGCCTTGGAATTTGCACCAGCTACTTCTCTTGGGGTTTGTGATGTCGAACCCACTCCAGTTTGCACGAGCTACAAGGTTTGGGGTTTCGAACGGACTCCATTTTGGGCTTGGGGTTTGCACCAGCTACTCCTTTACGTCATTTTGGGCTTGGGGTTGGGGTTTGGGGTTTCGAACAACCGCACTCCATGTTGTTTTGGGGATTGCACCAGCTACTCTTTTTGAGGTTTGGGGTTTCCAACCCCCACACTCCATTTTGGATATCGAGGTGCCGAACCCCGGAACTCCAATTTGGGTGTGGGGCCTGCAAAAAGGGCTTGCACCAAGCTTTCCTTCTGGGGTTTGGGGTTTGTTTTTTGGGTTTGGGGTTTGGACCAACTGCTCCTTTTCAGGTTTGGGGTTTCGAACCCCCGCACTCCATTTTGGGTAAAGGGTTTGCGCCTACCATTACCCCTTGTAGGATTTGGGGTTTCGAACCTCCGCGCTCCATCTGTGGGTTTCGGGTTTGCGCCAGCTACTCGTTTCAGGCTTGCGCTAACGACTCCTTCAGGGTTTGGGGTTTCGAACCGCCGCACTCCAACGTACTGCTTTCAGGGTTTGGGATTTCGAATCCCCGCACTCCATTTTGGGGTTTGAGTTTGCGCCAGCTACTCCTTTTAGGGCTTGGGGTTTCGTTTGAATCTACACTAGCTATTTCTTTCTTGGATCAGGATTTTAAAGCACACTCCATTCTGGGTTTGCGGTGTGGCGAACCCCCGCACTCCATTTTTGGGTGCGGGGTTTGCACCAACTATTCCTTTC